AAGTTCTTTCGCTTTTTGTTATTTTGGACAACTAAAAAGGATTTTACTGAATTTTCTTACATAAGAAGAAAACAATGGTGAGAGGAGGAAGAAGATCGACAACAAAGAGGCACTTATTAGCCACTATTTATTGTGCGTTGCTCGATCAAACAGGGTTACCTTATTCGTTACTCAATCAATTATCCGAATTATATGTGATGGTGTCTCCAAGCGTTCCTCAATCAAATAGCCCAACAAGCATCGAAGAGCTAATTCTCGAGGCTTCCTTTTTCAGGCCCAAATTTAGATTTAAGATAGGAACGTCCCTAAAAATTTTGAGCTTCTTTAACTCCAAATTAGATTGTGTGCAAATAAATATAAATAGAAAGCATCGGCTATATATGTGTGTGTGTGTGGAGTTTTTTTTCTCTTCCAACATAAAAAAAGAAACAATTAAAAGTGAAGAGGAGTACAATAATGAACCAAGATATTGAGTTGAGTTTGGGTTGAATTAAAATTAAATCTGATATATGTTAATTCTATGACTGGTTTGATTGATCATTAATATTCAATTTCTAACAACTGTATGGCCAAATAGAATCTGAGCATGCATAGAAAAATTGAGTTTTGGAAAGTAGACTTGGCTTCCAAGAACAAGGGGGGACCAGAATGCATGAACCTCTTCATTATTTGTTTCTTTTTGGAGGCATGCATACATGCATGGATGACGATATATAGTTTTGAAAATTATATTAGTAAATCTTCCACAAAACAGGGACATCAAGATGCATGAAATATTTTTAGGTTTGTAAGGACATGGAAATCATTTTGGTGGGATAAGATATAGTAGAGAATTAAAAGAATAGGCTACATAAATTCCTTGGTGCTGCTACCCACAAGCATACTCATCTTCTCTTCCCTCCTTCCATCTTTGTTTCTTTGATTTTTCTGTACTAACTTTTTTACCATGGTAATTATCATCAGTGTTGCTATTTTGGTGGGCAAGTTGGGATCAATAGAACAACAACATCTTTGTTATCATTAATTCATCACGCAAAAAGATGGCCTCCACAAAATAGCAATTCTCGATCATTGCTATAGCTTCCTTCATCGACAAAAGATGGTAATATTTTACCTCAGATCGATATTTTTCCTATGCAAATTCTTTACTGCTTTTTATTATTTTTGAGATCTAATTAATAAGGATTGCGTTGAATTTTCTTGCAGAAGAAACACACAAAAAGTTAGGCAGTGGAGCAACAAAGAGAGAAAGACAACACAGGTCAAAGACAATTAATTATAAATATGAATTGGTGAAACATAGGATCAGAAAAAGGAGACGAGCATTCAAAGTTTGTTCATCAAGCTGTAATCTTCCACTCTGGTGTGGAAATTTAAGGTCATAAGTTATAGTTTCTGATACACAACTACTACTAATAAATTAGGATATTGGTGGAAGAAGAAGAAGAAGAAGAAAAAGTGTGTTGACAAGGCAGCACAACAGCCTCTCCCGCAATCCATGGCGAGATACTTCAACTACTTTTCGGACACTATCTATATGAACAGCATTGGGGACAGCTATGGTTTTCTAAAGGCGCCCATTATTGATTTGTTGGCCCCCAAAACAAAAGCCAATGCAGCACTTTTTTCTCTGAACATACTTTTGACAAGAGTCTACTCTGTGCTCATTCATACATAAATCATGTCCATGTAGAAGTCGGATGAATGAATGCCAAACTTCCTTTCATGAGCAACAGCAGATGGTGGATTCAGGATTTCAGTTCATTAGCACACTGTTCATGTTGATCCTTAGAATAAATTAACAAGGCAACAATCACAGTATCCAGCTGAATGGTTGGACAATTGGATATGATTCAGTACTTGTTAGGCTGCATTTATCTGAAACCAAGCCAAAGAAGTCTGGAAACAGGAGATGTCAAAGAACAGCAATCAAGCTTTGTCACCAAGCATCTTCAGATAAAGGCAATCAAAAAAAGAAAAAGGTACTTTTTCAGGTTGACAACATGGATCACAAAAGCACAAAAGAAGAGGAAATCTCAGCATCTGCGCTGTATTCATATTGTAGAAAGCAGTATGGTCTAAAGATCAAACTGGTCCCATTGTGGTCAGATTAGACATGCTACCTAAATCACAAGCTTCTCTTTTTTTGATTGGATGCCTGCCTTGAAGAACAAGCTGCAGGGATTGATTAGGCCTACCCTTTGGCACATTGTCAAACTTGCTTAAATGACATGTAGCTTTGATCTCAGATTGCTATCAACTTGCTGAATGACCACAAGAAATATGCAAACTTGCCTGATTAGGCAGATGTTTTATTCTCCCCATCAATGAAAATTAGAGAGAGGATCTTTCCATGCTAGTATTTTCTGTACTATCTAATTAGGTTACCATATCCGTGAATTAAATTTATAATCTCGGTTCAGTGTGTCACCATTTTCCCTACTCATCACCACACAATTCTGAATCTTGATCTAATTTAAACAGATATATAGTTCTTTTCCTTCTAATTTTTGAATATAAATTTATATTTTGGAAATTATTATTATCATTATTCTTTTTTCATGTAAACTATATCGGAAAATATAGATTGAGACCTTAAATATTGGTCTGATGGTGATGTATGAAATCCATTCATCAAAGGTTGAGGGTTCAAAATCATATCAGATATATATATTTAAAGACGTCGACTAGTTTATCTAAGAAAAAAAGACTTAATACATTATGGTAAGATCCTGAACTCCAATTTCACCATCATCGCTTATTTTTGGAAAATAAAAAATAATATCAACCATGGAATCCAAATGGTCCATAACCTATTCTGGATTAAATTGTCTTCCTCATTCCCAATCTCAAATATCGGGGGTGAGGCCACCTCGAGAAGGAAAGGTTCTCAGCCTTCAACTCTTCCGAAGCTTGTCATTTGGTCCCCTTTTCCTGTCCTCATCGCCTCACTCCGTAAATGTAAAACCCCTTCCTCTAAAAGGGCATCAAAGCAGTACAACGTCTACAAGTTGAAAACGCCCCATACGTAGTGCATCCATCTGACGTTAACTGAGAAGATTGCACGCACATACACTCGCCAAACTCACGTACGCCCATCGCCACCGTTCGCAGGGAAACACGAGTCCTCCATAGTCCACCAATAAATGGGTCGAAGAGGGTTGGCTCGTCGCGGTGTGAGACAGCACATGGAACCACCTAATCCTCCGAGTAATAACTCGATTTCCAAGTGGTGAAGACGACGACGACGTCCGTCCACCTAATGAGGCCACGCCCTGTTCCGATGAATTGACTACCGATTGGCGATCGAGACCTCGTCACATGGAATAATCAATGGCGCGATGGGGACGTGACGTGAGGAGACCAGTTCGGTCGAGCCCTCTACTGCATGAGGCAATCCACGTTGTCATCCGTTGGATCGTGATCGGACCGCCAGTGTAGATGTCGGGCTCACGCGAATCGCGAGGCCCTACGTGAATGGGTGGCAGAAACATCGTTGTCGTCTGCTGCAGAGTTCCACGTTCTGCTTCTTTTTGGTGCAGAAACAGTGCAAGGAAAAGAAGAAGAAGAAGAAGAAGAAGAAGAAGAAGAAGCAGCAGCAGCATGAATAATATTTTAGATAGTCCTAAATAGATAAGGCTTAATTAAACGAAGCGAGGAGACCGCCTGCACGTCACGTGATCGTCGTGGTCGTCGTCATCGTCTCACCGCTCGCCTCATACGACCTCAGAATTCCCTAACGAGGCAAAGGATCGCAAGACCGAGTCGAAGGTGAGGGCACCGAGAGTGATCGGACTTCGATGCGCTCTCCTTGACCATTGGTTGGCAACCGCCGCTTCTTTTTGGGTTATTATTGATATTATTTACCTTTATCTTTTTTTCCTTTAAATATGCTTTTTCTTTTTTACCCCCTCCAGCTTTGCTCTCTTCTTTCTTTTCGCCTTCGCTCTCACACTGTCGCACGCTCGCAGTCTTCCTTTTTTCTCTCTCCTCTATCCTTCGAAGAAGAATAATCGCATTTATAATCCCGCCTCGCCTCTGGCTTCCCTCTCCGTGTTTGGAAAACTTGTAAGCGAATCCCTGTTTGGAAACCTTCTAAGCGAATCGGTGCATGTTTTCGACTTCCTTTTAGGATTCACGTTCGAGCCCATAGCTTTGTGGTCTGCGTTTAGGGAGGGGGATGGAGAAGAAGCAAGGGTTCTTCTCGGCGCTGCGGGAGGAGGTGGCGCGGGGGCTGTCACCTGCGCGGTCGAGGTCGAGGTCGGAGAGCCCGCGGCGAGGCGCGTCACCGGTGGCGGACCTGCTGCTTCCGACGCGGTGGAAGCGGCAGCAGCCGCGGGGGTTTCCGGCGGAGCTGCTGGTGCCGGCGTCTGGGAGCCTGGCGCCGCTGGCTGAGGGGCCAGAGGGGGAGGGGAGCGGCCCGGGGAAGGGGGGGTGGGGGCAGTGGATGAAGGGGCGGCTCTCCCGGGCGCCGTCCGTTTCCGGCGCTGCCGCCTCCTGCCACCGCTCGGACCTCCGCCTCCTCCTCGGCGTCATGGGGGCGCCGCTGGCCCCCGTCCACGTTTCCCCGACATACGCGCTCCCCCACCTCAGCATCAAGGACACTCCCATTGTGAGCACCCTGTTCGCCTGCTTTTCTATGACGACCTGCATCGGCTTTCTCTTCCTTGCCTTGTGCTACCATGTCGTCAGTAGAAAATATCAGCAAGACTCATTTTTTGTGGATTTAAGCGCAGTTATTACCATCTCTGGTTTCTCTGCTTTGAGTGAATGCTCGAATTCCTCATAAATGCCTGCAATATCCTGCAATGAATGCATCTGATTTCCATCTCCTTGCATCTTTGCTTGCGTTAATTGCCCAATTTGGTTAGACATTGAGAAAAGCTGTTGATTTTTCATGGTAGGAAACGTCGTCAGCCCAATACATACTGCAGCAGTACACAGCGGCCTCGGGAGGGCTGAAACTGCTGAGCTCCATCAGGAACGCGTACGCGATGGGGAAGGTGAGGATGGTGGCCTCGGAGTTTGAGACGGCCACAAGGGTCATCAAGAACCACAGTGTGACGAAGGATGCAGAGCCCGGGGGCTTTGTTCTCTGGCAGATGGCGCCGGGCATGTGGTACGTCGAGCTGGCCGTCGGTGGTAGCAAGGTCCGTGCCGGTTGCAACGGCAAGCTCGTCTGGCGTCACACACCATGGCTCGGCGCCCACGCCGCCAAGGGTCCTGTTCGTCCCCTTCGTCGAGCTCTGCAGGTACAGAGGCGGAAGGTGCAGCATGAGCCACCATCTCGCCTTCTTTTGGGCGCTCGATCTCTGTTGTCTGCTTGAAATTCTTATTGTTACCCAATCGAACTGTGCAGGGTCTTGATCCATTGACCACGGCCAGCATGTTCTCTGACGCACAGTGCATCGGGGAGAAGAAGGTCAACGGAGAGGATTGCTTCATCCTCAAGCTTTGTGCAGACCCACAGACGCTCAAGGCTCGGAGCGAAGGCCCTGCCGAGATCATAAGGCATGTCTTGTTTGGTTACTTCAGCCAAAAGACGGGGCTTCTTACGTACATGGAGGACTCCCATCTGACTCGAATCCAGTCGAGCGTTGGAGGCGATGCAGTCTACTGGGAGACCTCCATTAACTCCTCCATAGAAGATTACCGCCCTGTGGAAGGTGTGATGATTGCCCACTCCGGGCGATCAGCGGTCAACCTTTTCCGGTTTGGCGAGGTGGCCATGAGCCACACCAAGAACAGGATGGAGGAGGTGTGGACCATCGAGGAAGTGGCTTTTAATGTTGCCGGCCTCTCAGTCGACTGTTTCATTCCGCCGGCTGATGTCAAACGTGGAACAGTCAGTGAGGCCTGCGAACTACCTCAATCGGAGAGGGGTAGAAGCAGCATGGCCGGAAGTCATCGGGCTAAGGTTGCAGCTCTGGACAAGCCTGATGGTAACATCCGATGGAGGGCCGAGAAGTGAACCTGTCGACGATCATGGTTCTTTAGCTTTAACCGACTGACTCACCAAAAACTACAGAATAGCAGAGCAAACTTCACAGATTTGGGGTCTGCTACTTCAACAATCCTGTGTGTATAGCAGCATTTTTATTCCTGGGTCTGCCACCTGCAATATAGCCTTGTTGTAGAATTCCTGAAGGCTTGGCTGGTTTGCTTACTTTGGTTTGTCACGCTTGCTGGTTGAAGTCCTGTTTACTTTTTTACTTTTTCTTCTCCTACACCAGGGTGCTGCCTTCCATGCACGAAAACAAAGATGAACCAACCATGTATGTTCTTACCAATCGCAGCAACGGGGACTTCACGGTGCCTGTTCGGAGTTCCCAAGATTTTATGTGTTCTTGTGTGTTTGTTTGTTGGCTGGGTTGGTGTGGCAACTGTTGAGGATGCAGGTAATTAGTAAAATGTAATCATCAATCCGAAACGAGGGTTGGGATATAAAACTTTTCCTTACCTACTGCAATCATATATGGGTGTGCGAACCACACTTCTCTGCTCCGTCTGATATCACTGGTTATTGCACACTCTAGATGTAGTGGATGCACGTGTCATCTTTCTGCGATGCTACTTTTTTGTGGGACAGCATCATTGTTGTTGAACATCAATTAAAGGGGTTAAAATGGGGATGTTATTTATGGTGGGTTTAGACAGCGTCAGGTAATGTGATAGATGGGGCCTGGGCTTCATTCATTGCCTCCAGCCAAGGACATGGGAGGCTTAAGGTCCCCCGTATGGGTAATCCATCACATTTGGTACAGGTGGTGAGAGAAAGGTATTGATACCTGTGGTGGAACTGTTCATTCTTTATTTTGTTTTGGAGGGACACTCGGCCATGGTTCTCAGAAGCTTCCTCACTGTGGTTTCTCGTTGATGTCTATGCTACCACCCTTTTTCCAGTGGCTCAATGAGAACAGACACAATAAGTAGGTATCCAATGCTCACTGTCCCCTTGCAAAATATATCAGCTCTTGATGATACTTGAGCCAGCCATGAAGAATCTGACCCTTGAGGCAATCACACTTTCCTGCATGTTGCGGTTGCTTAAAAGCTTCAAAAAAAAGACAGGAAGTTCTTCAAGATGTTGATGTGGTCCAGCACGAAAATAAACTAACCTCGTTTGGTTCCTGGAAGATGGTGGTTCCCTGGAGGCTTTAAAACGTCCACTAGCAATCAGGATCATCTTATTAGCTGAAGCGTCAAAGCGACCTATCATGCTCCGCTTGTTGTAGAAATAAACTTGATTCTAAACCTACAAGATGGGCACAAGAACCATGTCCACAATCCGCACAAAAAAGTTGATGCTGGACATCAGAAATGCCATCATAAAGAGAGAACATGTGGGAGAATAAATAGCTCACAAGATGTTCACCTTGTTCTCAGGCTCTGGTTCCGTTCTTTGATCCATCGCTTTCCATGTCTCCAGGCTCAGCTGAAGGATCCAAACATGCATCCCACAGACCATTCTGCAAGATCGATCAAACTCGGGAGGCATAATGCCCAGCCACGAGAAGACAGCAGCAGCAGCAGCAGCATTGAGAATACTCCTTTTATCACAGACGAATGATCAACTTCCAACTTTATCAACAATTTTGATGTGCATTTCTAACAAAACATATATTAATACTTGGATAACTTGAATGAGGAAAAAAATTAAAAAAGAAGATGCTTACCACAAACACTCATGGTCTGCTAAGAAAACGTAGACTCCGGATAAAGTCAAACATATTTCTTTAAACAATCAAATCATTGAAGAAAAAGATATCCAACAAACAAAAAAATGAACATGTTATTCACACAAACGCAACAATTACATCAAGGTCATCATGGCAAATAAAATTCGAGTTTCACACAAGTATCATATAACTACCAGCATAGCCGAAATAAGCTTTAGTCAATTTCTTACAGATTGTAATGCAAGCAGGATTAGCCACGGCCTTGGTCCTTTTCACATCTTGGTGCTTGTTTGTCCGATGCTGTGATGAGACACAACACATTGGAGAATCCAAAAAACAAGATAACCAACCTAAAGATCTGTCAGCTATCAGCACAATCCTTGAGCATGGTAAACCAAAGGCATAATCACTACAGAGAAAGGATTGAGGTTGTACAAAGTGTTCTCAAGCAAAAACTTGTAACACCAACAAACCAACAGAGAGCACTAAGAACCCTAAACAACATAGGACCCAACAGTAGAAAATTGTTAAGCAGTTCAACTTAATTCTGAAGAACAAATACTACATTTTAGGTCATTGATACACCACAGATACATGCTATCAGACAAAAAAGACCTCACATCTTGCGTGGTCCAACAAGAAACTTGTCATAAGCCTACAGTTATCTATACACCAAAATCTACCTTCTTGCGTATGACATAATCACTTTGAAAAGTGAGGATTAATCAAGCCTGATATTTCGAGAAACCCAACACGGTCTCTCCCACCAAAAATGGCTTTGAGCTTCTCATCACAAACAATTATCTTTTTGTTCTCTGGATCCTGCAAGGGAAGAGCACATAACAAAGATAAAATGACACTTGGCACGGAAGAGACATATACAGAGCCTAAAGTATTACACGGTAAGTTGACACCAATAAAAAAAAGGCTAGACTGATAGCAGACTCAAGCAAAGTCAACTTTAGTGGTAGGGCAAGTCAATGTCAAATGCATCAGTAACAAAAGTTGTGCATACACATGCACACTCACTGTTAACATACTTCTACTCAGATTTTACAGGAGTCATGAAAAGTTCCTATTTAGTATTACAAATTGTATGAAGGTAGATAGATGCAGAAGATAGAATCAACGCTAGCCAAATCTATGATTGCAGAAGAATCTTAGTTTGATCAAACATAGCAAATGTTAGTTTCCTGTTCTTAGTAGAAGAATGGCACAATAAACAGATATAGTTGAATCTAAAAGAAAATACCTTGTGAACTCTAATAAAATATAGGATCAAGTGTACAGAAATTCAGACTACTTGCACAATTATAACAGAAACTGCAGAAGCTAACTCAACAAGATTAAGGGAAAAATCAGGGCCCAGATTTTTAATTTTATAACCAAGGCTCCATAATAATAGTTCTAAAGACAGACACATATGACAATGATTAAACAGCCTTTAACTATTATAAAACATGGCTGAAAGCCCCCTTAGAATTCAAATAATTACAACTTAGAATGGAAAAGACTAAATTGACATCTTTGCCTGAACCAATATTCAAGATATCATCCTGTTCAGCTCCTACTGGTTCATAAACGTTCAACATAGTTAGAACTTTGTTCAGCTGATATCATTTTACAACAATATGTCAAACCTACTGATTCCAATATCAAATACATGGAGGGCATCAAAAAGTTTGTTTCTACACCATCCTTCAATATACTCAACCAAGCTCTCCATACTCTTTTGTACTTCAACTTCTCTGTTTTGTGCATGTTAAAATCATTGCAAAATGACCTCTAAATGCTCTGATGATCCACACAAAGTTTCAGTCTCTCAGAAACATAGACTTATAGCACCTCCCCCAAAATAATACATATCATTAAGGGCATTTTTTTCTTGTAATCCTTCCCATAAGGCATTTACCATTAATTCTAAGTGACTGCATTTTCCTGCAAACCATTAATTCAGTAACCTAACTTCAACTTCCCTATGCTCCCATAAAGTTTAAAACACGTGCAATTCTGTATCCTATACAGCGGTCTCTATGACACAAGGAATTAACTAAAGCATATGTTCATATCATTTCAATCTACTAAAAGACCATTCAATCTATTCATCTTTACAGTTATGATAATCACATATTTGTACTAAGCTTTCACTTGTAATCATGTCTCTCCAGATTTGCAGATATAAAAAGAAAACCATAATCTTATCAACACTCAGTTCATCCAAAAATCCCCTCATTCGAAGGCCATAAACCAATATAATATAATTTCTCAAAGTTAAATGGAAACAATTCATGAAATCAGTACAAAAGCATCCATGCATTCTACTAAAATTCGCCTATCATCTTAAAGCGAGAACTTCATGCTATGTTCTTGCGTTCCTTGCCACATAAAAAGGAAAAGATAAAGAAAGAGACAACCATACACGCCATGAATACAATGAAAGGAGGAAAAAGATCGAGGACGAGCGACCACGATGTAGGATTAATCTCTCATCACAACACAAATCAAGGGTTTACATAGATCGAGGACGCCTTAAGCTTAGAGGCCAAAAATGAAACAGAAGGAAACGTGTATCACTAGTTGAAGAAAAGGAAAAGGGGGAGGCCAGAAACAGAAAGGTGGGGGTAACCTGGAGGTTGTGCTCCTTAATATAAGCCCAGATGAGCTTGAGCGCCTGGGTGCGGGGGATCTCCGGCACGCCGACGAGGGCCTGCATTGCAGGGGAGACGGGACGGGGCTTGGTGATGCCCCTCGCTGGCCTCGCTCCCGCCCCCGAGGCAGGCTTGGAGGAAGAGGCCGCTCGCACCGCCGTCGCCGACGCGGCCCTCCGGTGGAGAGGGAACGCGACGGAGGCCGCGAGGCGGCGGCGGAGGGGATGATCGGCGGTGAGGAAGGCGGAAGCGCAGAGGCCGTTCGAGGGGATGGTCGCCGCCATAGGTGGGAGACTGGGGAGCGTCACCGAGGGAGAGGGGGAGAGAGCGAGTGGATAAGAGGACGGGAAACGGCACTTCTTGGGCTTTGAGAAGGGTTTTGGGGAGGGCAATCCTATAGTTGTTAGGGGTAGAATAGGAATTAGGATCCGCACAATATAGTTTATTCGTTTAATAAACACGTTGTATTATTATGGCCGTCATTGCGCTGTATTACCATATGCATGCGTTATTATTATCATCAACATCATCATCATAACTTTTCCTAACAAAAATGAATATCATATTTATTATTCCTATGCTACATTACCAAGGTTATCATGATCGACATCATTATGTTTCATCACCATCATTAGATTGATTCGTCTTCTATTGGTTGTGCCAATTGCAAGGTAGCTTATGGGCTCAGCATCAGCGACGATAATGTTGGCATTCGAGCACACTGTATCTTGGGGTTCTCAGGCATCAACCCATTTCCACTGACTCCTTTAATTAGAGACATACGAGCGCATCTAAAAAAGCTTACATCAAGTCATCCTAAGACTCAAACACTGGAAGTGCCAAGACGGCTGCTTTAGTCTTTCATCTCTCGGGCCTTCCAACTCGAGGAAATCCTTAATGCCATTGTCGTAGCTAATGTTGGCATCTTCCGTCTGCCGTGTTTCCCATCTATGTGCACTCACCTTTAGCCCTCCTCCAGACTCGGTTGATGATGAGGAAAAGCTTGCTCCAGAATCAGAAGTGAAGGATGTCTCTTCCCTCTTCCTCCAGCTGCTTCCCACCGTCAGCGTCAGTTCTATGTCACTCTCTTGTTCCAACTCCAATGTCGTATCCTCTTCTGCTCTTTCTATGTATTCATCTGCCGGAAGTTCGAGATTAAGTACCCGACGCCGTGGCCTCCGTTCACGGTGTCTTTCACTCAGTAGGCACGAGACTGTGCCAGCGTCTCGATCACCAAGGTTAAACCGAGTGCGGTTGACGAGCCTCTGTCTCTTCAGCTCATTGTTCTTCATGTCTCTCATCAGAAACTTCTGAACTCTATATAAGCGATGGAGTTCATGGACCTGATAGGGAAACAAACTTGAATCTGCGTGCTTGTGAAAGGAATGACGAAGAGGGAGGAAGGATCTGAAGCTGGGAGACTACCTGTTGCCTGAAGGTCTCTTCATGCTTCAGCATCATCATCTTCATGCATTCTTTGTCATCCTTCCTCAGAAACATCTCCATTAGCGTTTTCTGAGATTGATTGGACCGACCAGACTTGTTGGTTTGGAACCGCAAGGAAAGAAATTGGGCTGTCCTCTGTCTGCTGACAATTTGTTGGGTACTGATGTTGATTGCTTCCCGTTGCACTCGTCAGAATCTATCAAATCCCTGCACATATCCGGATTTCACATCAAGGGCTATTTTTGGTTGATATTTTATAGAGAATATTTCATCATTAGATGCCTCATAATCACTCTTATTATTGTCTACAGCAGATAGAAAAAAGGAAAGTTGTACTTCTATCTGACGTCTGAGCAGAGGAAGTACAAGGTTGGCATACAAACTGTTAAACACATATAAGTCACTTCAATGACAGTGTGCTTGTAGTGAATTTTGATGAGCTTCTGATCATATTTAGCAGGATTTTGGCTACTAAATCATGATTAGGTATACCATCATGGTATATACAGCAAAACAAACAAACAAAATCGAACCCTTCCAATCATAACTATAATAATATTACAGATGACATGGAAAAGCATATCACAGGATAAATGGAGAACCATAACCAAGGTAGGGCATGCATCCTGTTGACATGAGAATGGCATCCAATTCAGTGTTATCCAAACAACTTCATACAGTGGGTACCATAGGATATTTAAGACGACTTTCTAATAGTACCAAAGTAAAAGAAATCTCACATTCATATATTGAAAGGAAAAAAAACTATTTCACATTCATATATTGAAAACAAATACTAATAGTAAGCTAAACTTGTTTTTTTTCCTCATGAAAAGTTGAGTTCACACTGTTTCTACTAGTGATGTCAAACTAGAAACAAAATTTTGCTGACAGTAACCCAACTCTTTTAAATGGTATTTCATTACATTTCATCGCATAACCATCTTCGACAAAGGGACCTTGCAACAATTACTTCTCCTAGAGTAGAACACCAGGGCTAAAGTTGTTGTGAAGATGTGCAAAGATGTTTTAACGGTGCCTTGCAGGTATACAGACATATGATTCTGATATTGATGGCCTATAACCAAGGATCAGATGTATTGTTGTTTCTTTTTCATGGTTTCTCTTTTTCAACATTTATATAGATACATATATATACATTAAAGGAGTTCTTCAAATCAGACAATATAAGCAGATAACATCTGAGAAGCATAAATGATTCATCTTTAGAAAAGAAGAGAAACTTTGCAGATGCAGATATGATGAGTCATAAGAGGAAGTATGGCACATAATTTAGCCTGACTAGTGCCCTTCTCCTGTCTGAATCAGGGAAAAAAAATGAAACAACAAACTACTTGTTAGAATCTGTATAAGTAGCTGCAGGAGACAAATTCATATTAGATATCACAATGCAAAGCTTTTTCCACTCGGACTTAGGCTCATAAATTTACAAACAGAGCTCCAAGGTCCCAGTGCAGGATGCTCATAGCATATGTTTCTTTACATGCTTAAAGCAATAAATATGAATAGGATGCAACGGATTCCAGATTGGCTCAAGATTCTTCATACTAAAATCAAGTATCACCATAAACGAAAGCAATCAAAGAAAGCTAAGGAAGATATGCAGAGCTCATGACTGACAAAAGAAGAGCAGCACTGCAGCAAAGAGTGATATAGAGTATGACCTGTGATTGTCTATCAGAGAAACAGGCTACGCAGCTGCTTCAGCGGGAAACTCTGCTTCTTCTCTGCTACTACCTGCCTTGGACGACAGAAGACAAACAACAATCTTCTCATCCCCAATCTGCTGAGCTATGAAGTATTTAAGGTTCCGTCAACACGCTCCCACAGAATAATTTAGTAGGCTCCGCAGGCATGCCAAACAAATCCCAATGCACTTTGCCTTTGCATTTCAGGTGCATGAGGGAAAAGATGCCCCAGACAACTCCTACATAAGGCAGAAGTAAAATAAGAATGCCTACGTAATATATGCCGTGCCAGAGAATTATATGCGGTAATACTCCACAGAATCAACAACCAGGAGAACCAAACCATTCGTGCCAAAACCACAACCAGTTGTCCCAGCATGTAGATCATTCACTGTCTCTGTGTCTACACTGCGTTGTGACAAAACTTGTCTTTGTTATATGGGCAAAAATGTGAGAAACAAGGATGTGAGATGGTGCGGTAGTAGTGAAGTTGATGGCCAAAGAGACAAGAGAGCACCTTTAGAAGTATCAGCAGCATGAAAGGATGGTGTGTACGAAACACATCATATATGGTCAATCTACCATCCATTAGCTCATTTTCTTTTCTCACCAGCACTCGTGAATTCTTCTTTTTGTTTGAGCCATCTTCTTCATGAATAACAACAACCAATTATGGCATAACTAGGAACCATGTTAGCGTACAACTTGTATGGGTGGGAAAAAGAATAATGATATATCCATAATTCATATGAATACTACTTTGGTCAGACAACCTCCAAGTGGATGAGTTCAAAGACACTATAGGTTTCTCGACTTTGTTGCAGTAAAGCCTTTATTCCTGGAACAGTTCATGATGCAATGATACCTGATTAATCTTTCATGTTTCAGAGGCAACTTACGGTGATCATGTGATGATCCGACGCATACTACGTATACCATGATCATCATGAATCGGTGCTGAGGTTTGTTTACTCGGAACAGGGGAATGGGCCCACCCCACATACATAAATTCCAATCACAGCGGCATTCTCACAAGCACTTCAACTGCAGCACTGAAAACGAGCCATTAAACCCTAAAATATGAGCACTTCACTGAAAACAAGCAACGAGACGAGCATACATGCCTTAACAACGCAACGGAATCGGTCGGTTTCTTTGGGAGGAGGAACGGGGCTTACTTTTGCGCTCGCGAAGTGCCGACAAAGGCGTCTTTAGGAAGGGGCACATGGTGAGGTCATGTGTGCATGAGGCCCCCCCCTCTCCATACACGAAGGGGCCGACATCGGAGCACGCGTTGCCGGTGGCAGGAGGCGCAGCGGTACTCCATGGGGCGTCTCAAAAGCAGCAGCTCATGAGCTCATCTCGCCGTTCTTTTGCTTTTTGAGTGCTAGGTCCGAGGAGGAGGAGGAGGAGGAGGCGGTCTCATCGATCGGCTCAGAGAGAGAGTGTTATCTAAGGTTGATGATAAGGCTATGCCGAGTAGAATAGTCGTGCTAATAATACAAAGACGGGCTGTGTAAAGCTTATAGAAAGTAGAGAAAAGCGATGCCTTCGCCTGCGCATGATGGGTGCCGCTAATTGCTTGCTTTTTTTTTGTTCTTTTTTTTTTGTGTGGGGGGTGGGGGGGCGAAGAAGAGCAGCTTTTTGATGCTTCCGACTGTTGGGAAATAGTTGGGAATATTTGTTCATCACAATCCTATTATTATAATTAAAAAAAAAATAGTTTTATAATTATGATTTTAACCATTTTGTCATTAATTATATTCAGTACATTTTTTATCATTAATTATTTTTAAAAAATATATCTTTATAATTATGATCTCCGGAAATAATTTCCTCGTATCCTTCCTTATCAATCGAATCCTTATTAATCCATTAAAGTCACCTTCCAGTCTCCACGTAGGACTAAACGAGGGCAGGGCGTCCATTCTTACTGTTATCAAGCAAATGCTCGTCTACTACTGCTGCTCTCAATCACGCATATTAAAACCCAACAAGACACCACTCATGAATACGGCAGCAGCAGCAGCAGCAGCGTTATGTCTGCTGGTCCTCGTCAGATTCAGAGCAAAGCTTTCGAGAACTACGTCAATTCTCTCCCTATGCAATCATAGCATGCATGCTCTGCTCTCTTTCTCTCTCTCTCTCTCGTTTATTGCTGCCCAAGTTTAGGAACTTTGAAGGAGATAAAGGACAGTCACTTTGCTGTTAATTATTCCAAGTCTACTACAGGAGGAACCGACAAAGGGCTAATTAGTCTTCTAAGGGTGAGCTGAGCAGTCTGAGGACAAAAACTTTCAAAGTTACGAGACTAACCCGTGATAGTTCGATCAGCGTAAGACCCTTTTTTTTTTTTCTATCTATATGGACGAAAGTTTAAGACAATAATTAAGTGAACAATAGGTCAAAGAAAGCGATTTTAAACTGTTTCCTCTTAGAAAGTCTCATAAAATATTTCTCCTCTCATAAGTTATAAGAAATTATTTTTAATATAGTAACACGAGGATATTACTTTTTTTTATTACATTTATCATTTTCGTCCTCGATCTCGAACTAATTTGGACATCGAAGAAATCAGATCAAAATTTTTTTATTATGATGAGCATGAAAATTTCATCTTAGGGGTGCCTAGATCACATCCCGACCTTTCTACGCACACGAATCGAATCGAAGCCATGTGTTGATCAAAATATCAACTAGTTCTTTTCTTAACACAAGTTGATGTATAAACGTCTTCTATACTATTTAATAATCTTAATTATTATTTAATATATTTTTTAATAGAAGATTACTATTCATATTCCTTTTTTATCATTCATAATCTTATTTTAAAAGTATTTAATATTTCTAAAATATCTCTTTGCATCTGGATATAAATAAGATATAAGATAACGTTGAGGGAGTGATGAATGATGTTATTGAAAATGACGAGGATGAAATAAGATATTGTGGGGAAGAAAAAGAAAAAGAAAATATTAATATTGAGACTATAAATAGTAAATTAATATTTTTTTATTATTTTTAAAAGGTTATCAATAATAAGGGATTATCAATAGTATAGAAAGAGTTATGAATAGTAAGCTGCTTTATATATCTTTTCTTACCAAGTTTACCCTTCCAAAATTTTTTTGGAAAAATTTCAAACTAATAACTACTAAGTTTAAATTTTAAAAATATAAAATAACCTTAGATATCTTTAGTATTCTTACTATCATAATATTCAATCGATGGAAGTATCAATATCAATTAGATCCTTAATATCCATTAGATAATTAATATATAGCTCACAAGATTTAGTTCTTATCGTACTTTAGTTGGTTTGATCTCGATCACTACCGATTCATCTTAGAAACTAAGACACGAGGGTTGCACTCTAACACACTTGTTCTAGTAGAGGGATACATCGAGCAAGTTGATCGTAAATTGGACGATTCTATCTTAAATGTCCATAGCTTTTGATCCGAATGAAGGTGAGGGATGAGCCAATCAAGCATCAGAGTTCCTTAATATATTTTACCACCATTTTTAGATCCAAATTTCATCCTCTTTATCGATATTCAAGAATTATATTTGTTTTTCTTGTAATACTCTATGGGTTACATAGAGACTCATAGGATCTTTTCAATCGATCATGATGAAATTAGATTTGATTGATATTGATTCATATTTTTAAGTATCATTGCATCCAATAAAGAGGGATCACTAAAATAAAATATCTATGAAAGAGAAATTTTTTTGAATGCGAAAAATATTTATATTCATGTCACTCTTCCCATTTCACGAAATATATCTATGCCTTTATTCTCGCTTCTTACAAAAGAAGATTGTGCTACAAGTTTGTATGCAAAACCCCTATGGTGATCAAGTTAATAGATGTATGCAAACATCTAAATCTCGTAAGAACTTATTTAGTTCGTTTCAAATAATCATATACTTGATAAGACCACTTTATCTAGCATCATTTCTTTAGCCATCGACTTGATGAGAAAATATATTATTTAATATATTTTGATGATGTGGCATGCCTCGGTAGGTTCTTCACTGTCATGTATAGCCGACGAACGTAGCGTATTTAGTGAGCTCTGATTGGATTCCTTATGTGGAATTTTGATCGATCGAAATAATGATCACATCATATCCAAATCAAAATTGCAATTGTATTTAATGGGGTCTTTCATACTATAAATCGAGGAGCACAAATCTATCATTCGGCCTTAGATGGCCATGGCCCAACTTAGTTAGGAATGTGTCTCAAGTTATGGGCCTCGATTCTCTTCTACGAACTCTCTATCTCTTGCAATTCGAGATTTTTTTTTTCTTGCATCTATTAAAAATTATCTTGTATTTGCATCCTCATTCGGTAAAATGGAACAGTCCGCATTCATTCTTCCAATAATTCCTCTAAGCAAAATCCTCTTTGCTAATATGTATAAATAGCCATTAAGTTCATTATCTCAAACATACTTTTGTAATTATATTTCATATTTTATCACGGGATAACTTATAAAAGAATCAATTCTTACTTAATCCATAATGATTCGTATATTTATTATTTTTCTTCTCTTTGGACTGTTCATGATGATTCTAATAAGCATACTGCTTATTGGGTGTAGCTCGATAGATAGTATCCGCGTTAAATTGCTATCGGTTAAAGAAAAATAATACGACATGTGATGATCATGATTTTGTGTTTTGGCATTTAATTAAGTAAAACGAAAGTAAGTACAATTAATCCATCGGTCGGAGGGAACCAAAACATCAACATGGTGGGGTGGCCAATCCTTCTTCCGAACAAGATTTGATGATGGTTCATACTAAGGTATCCAACAATACTGTCTTCGTGAAATACATGCATAAGAGTATATCCCAAGTGAAAGGATGAGACTTATTTGGAGTTTGGTTGGGTAAGAAGAAGAAGAGGGTAGGGGAATACATGTCATGTCATGTCATGACGAGGGTTATACAACAGTACATAGTGAATAGAATTTTACCCCATCACATATGTAGCATCATTATGCCATCAATCAATTCCACATCACATCAACATAGGATACCGCAGTTCAGGATTTCGAGCACAGGCGAAGGCCATGAATGAGTTTGTGAACAACCTTACAGAAATGAACCACACAGAGGTGTGCGTGATGAGCTTTTACAACGTTTGTGTTGGATCTGACTCGGAATATTTTCAATGACTGCTTTTGATTTAGCATCGTCTGACATCGTTCTTAAATGGAATCACATTGATGAGAATGCCAACAGTTTAACTCACCTCTTAATTAAGATTTTTTGGTATTATTGAAAATGCTTATGTTCAATAATATAACTTGTTCAAACCCAATTCGGTTCATATTGTAATCGTTTCTTTAGAAATTACGATACTTTAATTAAAAATAAAATTATGAAAGATTAATATGATCGAATTCCATGACGTTTTGACCTCATGCGATGTACGCATGAACATATCTCGCGGAGTGGATTCAACCTTTAACTTTGATCACATCAATTTTTTAATTAATATGATCGAATATATGATCTTATCGAGAGTGAAGAATTATTTGATGAAAATTTTTTGGCTTATTGTCTAAATATCCATCACAAAATCAAATGTCACACTAATTCCATGTCGTATGGTGGACATCATTTGATAATATTCATGTTAGTCCACTCGAAGAATTATTAGATATATATATATATATATATATATATATATATATATATATATATATATATATATATTCATGAGAGGAATTATATTTTAATTTTTTAATTAATATGAGATTAAATATATTTTAATCATCTATCAGTGAAGAATTGAATTTTTGATGAGAACTAACATCGGAGAGCTGAGAAGCAACCCAAGGGAGTCACACTAGTCCTCCTTGATAATGATCTTCCTACCGAAGAAGGCTTGACTTGAGGCGTCACCTATGGCCTCTTGAGACTTTACAAAGTTTGTCTCATATCCTAAGCCAATGGAGTCGTTGATTGAAGCACCCCTAGACAAGGCCTGCCCTGATTGAGTTGTCAAAATCAGGGTAGCACTTCCTGAAGAGAGACGGGTGCAACTCATCAACTTTCTTCGAGAAAACACTGAGGTGTTTGGATGGTCACCGTGAGATATGCCGAGAATCGACCTTAATGGAGCTTAACAACACTTAAATATTTCTCCCAAGGCATGGCCATTAAAGTAAAGGTCTCACAAGTTTGCTCAAAATCACTGACAAATAATTAGTGATGATGTAGGCAAGCTATTAGGAGTAGGGTTTATTATTGAGGTGCATCACTCCCAATTACTCACTAACATTGTACTCATTAAAAAGCTTAATGAAAATTAGATGATTTGTCTTAACTAGGCATGCCCGAAGGATAGCTACCTTCTTTTTCGGATTAATTAGTTAGTCGATGCTATCTTGGATCATGATCTCCTCACCTTCATGGATACATTCTCAAGGTATATATTACTTCCTTTATCATCGGTCGAGGCATATATTACTACCGAGTCATACTTTTAGGGTTAAAAAATACGAAGGCTACGTACTAAAGAATGGTGAATAAGATCTTCAAGCAACATATTAAAAAAAAATATTGAAGCATAAACATAGTGAAAAGTAAGATGATTGACTAAGACATTTGGTAGATTTGGCTAAGACATTTTAACTTCTAATGAAGTTCAAACATATGCTTTAATTTAACCAAATGCGCCTTCAAAGTCAACTCAGAAAAGTTCTTTGAGTTCATTATGTACCAGAGGATAATAGATGCAAACCTTCGTCAATCAGGAAAGTTAAAAAGTAAATGTGTCGGATAGCAGTGCTCAATCGATTTTTATCCCAATCTAGAAATAGGTGTCTAGCTTTCTTTCGAGCATTAAAGAACTCAAAGGGTTTCCTATAGATCGAAGAGTGTCAAGAGACTTTCCAAAGGTTAAAAGACCACCTTGCCAAATTGTTGTAGCTTTTCTCCTCTAATTTTGGTGAAACTCTAAGCTTCTACCTCATTGTCATCGACTTAACTGTCAGCTCGGTGTTGGTACTGAACATGAATCGAGAGTTCAGAATTCTATCTACTATGTTAGTCATATTTTGAGCGGACCCGACGAACGATACCCCCCGATTGAGAGGCTCATATTTGTGCTAGTCTTAGTGGCAATAAAACTCCGCCCTTATTTTTAAGTATATACTATGTAGATGGTCACCGATCAACGACTTAAGCAAGTTCTTTCTTGGTTTGATATCTCTGGTCGGTTGTCGAGGTGGTCAGTAGAACTGGGTGAGTTCAATATCCGATATGTGCTAAGGACTATTATTTAGGCTCGAGAACCAAAAGACTTTATTTCAGAACTAACTCTTTCTCCCGAGATCAATAAGCACACCTCACCGTATGGATGCTATTTATGGATGGTTCCACCACCTTGGTTGGAGGTAGCGTCAGACTTATCTTGAAAGGCCTGAACAAACAAGTGTACGAGCAAGCTCTTTGGTTCAGGTTCAAAATCTCTGAAGCCAAGTATGAGGCACTTCTTTTGGGGCTTTGGCTCACCTAAGAGCTTTAAGTTTAGAATTTGACTGTGTTTAACGACTCACAATTAGTCGTGAACCAAGTGAAGAAAAACTACAATGCTCGAGATCCAATCATGGCAAAGTACATTATCGAGGTGCAAAAATTAACCCATAGTTAACCCTGACTTAATGTGTTACAGGCCCCTTGTAGAGAATGCCCAAGCCGATGCATTTGCTAGATTAGCATCAATCCGAGACTCTACTTAGAAGGCTCGTCCACGAGGAGAGACCACTTGCTAAGGGTTAAGGGTCATCAATTTAAGACGTGGACACCCTCAACTTTGTCGATGTTTGCCTAATGCATGAAATTGGAGAACTAATCGAAGAGGCATAAGCTTGATATGCCGGAGAAGATAGAAGCCAACCTCCACTCATCTGTCCGTGTAGATAAGGGTTCAAGGCAAGCAATTATGGGTTGTTCCTCCCTTATCGCCTGTGTTGATAAGACATCAATGGGAGACTATTGGAGATGGTTAGAGAGTGTCTCCTCATAGAATATTTTATATTTATTTACGATCAGTTATAAAAACTCATCTTAAACACAATAAAAAATGAGGATAATCTTTTTTACTAACTTGGATGTGAAGGGAAAAACTTCTCTTGAACTCGATTCTTGTGCAGGTGGTACCTCGGGAGCTCGATGTTTTCACCTAAGATAACCCTATATATACGGGTTCGAACCACGTCGGGCTAACTAAATATTAATGACTCATTTTCGTGATAAAAATAATAATATTTTAATCAAAAATAAAATTGTGAAAGATTTATATGATTGATATTTGTGATCTTCTCGAGATTTGGACCTAAGGGGATGCACCTATAAAGATATCTAGATATCTCCTAAAGCGGATTCACCCTTGATTTTGATCACGTCCGTTTTTCAAATAATATGATGAAATATATGATTTTATTAAGAATAAAAATTATTTGATGAAAGATTTTCAAGCGATTCGTCATCTAAATATCGATTCCAATATGAAAGATCGCACTAACATCATGGCCTACGGTGGACGTCATCAGATAATATGCATGTTAGTCATCGTTATATATCTATGAAAGGGATTATATTTTAACTTTTCAATTAATATGACATTACTTATAAATCGATTATCTATCGGTGAAGACTTGAGTCGCTATCCGATGATCCATGTCCCAAAATCTTCTCACGTGAATCTGCCCCACGGCTCACACCGGCATCACAGCACGCGACAACTTCACCACATCTCAACATCATCAACATGCCACCACGGCAGCGTTGTCGGACAGGCCGAAGGCGATGGAATCACGAGGTGCATTGCTCGATTCGAAGCCGACCTAACGTCTTCACATGCACCTACGGCCTCGTCAGCCTCTCCGAGCCTGCCATCAAAGCTGCTGCAGGAATCTGACCTCTCTTTCCCAAAGTCATGGCAGTGCTGCAGTGATATGGGTGGGTGGCAATAACTCGACCGACAGGTTAAAGTAGAGAGGGCCAGCAACTCTGCGAGCTCTTCGGTCCCATTCCTTCCCCACCCCCCACTACGGTTTTACCTTCACCGGTTGCCCATATAACTCGAAGCAGCAGACCTTTGAACGCCCATCACTTTCCCCTTCCCTCGCTGTTCTTCTTGCTGTGGCTCAGATGCCTCAGGGAAGAGGCAGTGCCGGTGGCCAGGTGACCGTGGTTCTGTGGGTGGCAGTGCTCAGCCTCCTGCTTGCTCAGGTCGCGGAGGCCGCAACCTACACCGTCGGGGACACCCGCGGCTGGTCCTTCAACATGGACAGCTGGCCTCGCGGAAAGCGCTTCCGCGCCGGCGACGTGCTCGGTGAGTGATCTCCTTTTGCCGCTGTGAATCAATCCAGTGCCTCTTGCTTTTTTTCTTTTTGGGGGTGACGGGCGGGGCGGTGCAGTGTTCAAGTACAACCCGTTGGTGCACAATGTGGTAGCCGTGAACGCCGCCGGCTACAACGGCTGCTCGACTCCGCGGGGCTCCAGGGTCTTGACCTCCGGCAAAGATCGCGTCACGCTCGCCAGGGGGAGGAACTACTTCATCTGCAACTCCGTCGGCCACTGCCAGTCCGGGATGAAGATGGCGATCGTTGCTGCTTAACATCGAGTGATATGTATGAAGCAAGTAGGAGCGTTAAGAAGGCAGGTGTACAAGAGAAAAAGCTTAGGCTAGGGGTGATGGTACTGAATAAAAAACGCTCAGTGGCCATGAACGTCGTTGTATGCAAGCTTCGGCCAATGGCGTATCGCTTATGTCAGTTGTATGTTGTTGTTGACATTCGAGCTTTGAGTTCTCCGTTTCGGTAGTCTTCTCGTTTGGCGAAGGATCCCATTGTTCCAGATAAGCAAAGCGGCGAAGAAGAAAGGGAAGCGGTGAAAAGACGATTTACTCGATGAACACTGGATGGAGACACAGTGGAGTCATACATAATAAAGGCTTCTCTGACACTGTGGACCCAAACCATGTTTCCATTACCTACATGAGTTAATTTATATTTTTCTTGGCTTCTTCGCTGCGTTCAACACGTCACCCACTCACCCAAATCTCGGCACATCTTAGCCTTCCACTTAAAACAATTGCCAAGTGGGCTCTAAGTGCAGTGTTCGGGCCGGACCTCCACCCCCCCTAATGTTGTCTGGACTCTGTTAAATCTGGTGCAATTTGCAGACCATACTTTTCTTGGGCCGTAACCCACACCGGGCGTGCCCTACGCTGAGGAACCTTCTAGGCCGGCGCCACTCATTTCCATTAAACAAAAGCCTTCGTCATGGTATAAAGCGGTTGGGTACTAATCGGGGGAAGGCACCCGATTCTCCGTTTCGATAGATCCTTAAATAGCTGCGAGGAAAGGGTGAGGGAAAGGGAGAGGGGAAGAAGAAGAAGAGATAAGAGGGTATGGCAGTCACCTTGGATATCCCAAGCGAGTACGGCTATGTCGTGGTGGTGCTGGTTCTCTACATGTTCTTCAACCTGTGGATGTCCTTCCAGGTCGGCAAGGCTCGCAAGAAGTAATCCTCTCTCTCTCTCTCTCTCTCGGGGTCGAAGAGCCCATCCCCGACCATCTCTCTTTGTCTGATCTCCCTGTTGTTCTTCATCGAAAGGTACAAGGTTTTCTATCCCGCTCTGTACGCGGTGGAGTCCGAGAACAAGGACGCCAAGCTCTTCAACTGCGTCCAGGTACGAATCTAGACATGGAAGGAAACTGGTTAACGTCTTGATCTGAATATTTCTTTCTTGCTTTTTTTTGGGGGCGGTGGTTTGGGCAGAGGGGGCATCAGAACTCGCTGGAGATGATGCCGGTGTTCTTCGCCACTCTGCTGGTGGGCGGGCTCCAGTACCCCCTCATCGCCGCTGGGCTCGGCGCGTTCTACACGGTCGCTCGCTTCTTCTACTTCAAGGGATACTCCTCCGGCGTCCCCGAGAACCGCCTCAAGATTGGGTATTCGTTTCTGATCTCTCTTTCTGTGCTTCGATTCCTTCCGCACGCATCAATGATCCATCTATTATTTTCTTCTGTTTGTGGGCAGAGGACTCAACTTCGTGGCGTTGTTTGGGCTTAAAATCCTGACGGGGGCCTTCGGGATAAGCCTGATTCTGAGGGAAGTGCTGTGACGACGAACAAAGGTCGTGTTTTGATGCTTTCTGGTTGCTGTAATAAACATGGTCCAGGTAGGAGTCGGTGTTCCATTCGCCTTCGTTCCGTGGGATTTGTCGATCTTGGTTTTTGAAGCTGGTCGCATGGTTTGCAGTCTATGTATTCCCTGTTCAAAATATGAATCCTTGGTCTGACTTCAATTTCCCAGTTCTAACTTTACTTTGTTCGCTGCAAACTGTCAACCCATGGATTCTACCGTCGAGCAACAAAGCAAACACAGCCTTTCCTTTTTGTATGGCTTATGGTCGATGACCGCAGCTTGAGTGGGTGCTTGCTTTTTCTTGTGAGCCGAGGGCCAACCGAAATCCAACGGAAAGTCAACCAACAGGGTCCTGACTTTTGTGATCCAGTGAGGCTGTAATAAGTTGCTCTACGAGTTCGTAGTCTTCTGGTCCATGACACGCATCGTGACGACTACAAACAGTAAACACACGGCTAGGGACATGCTGGAAGAGTATGTACCGCAGCTTACAGACCGTCGGGGTAAAAACGATAAAAAGGACTCGACATGAGAAATCATATTGTCTATAGAAAATACAACACGAGCAATAAAACGATGAGCCGATTTTGCTAAGGAGTCGATGCTTCTTCGATTGCTGGGAGGAGAGCAAATCGATGCACTACAAACCGCATGCAGCCGTGGAGGGTATGCGCAGCGTCCAAAGACGAAGCAAATGTTGTTAAGTATATAAGAAATCTGATGATCTGTAAGTCACAACTCTGACTGCGCTTTCAGTGTTCCCCTGAATAAACTCTTTTTGTGTTTGTGCAGTGACTCGTCATCAGAGTTCAATTTTTGCACAGAAGAAACTGAATATAATAGCCTTTTCTTTTGACCATACCTAATTGGGTGCATTATCACGTTGAGGGGCCTCAGCTTGCCGCCTCTGCCGTTCTCGGAGGTAAAGTACAGCCAAGAGGCAAGCAAACAGAGTTAATATGGTTGCATTTCCTTCGTCCATCAGTACTTCGTCCACCCATGCCTCTAATCTTGGAAATAGTTTTGGAAGTGAATCAATCACCTTAACCTGAAACATCAGAACACTTCATCATACGAGCATAATAAATAATAAAGGGAATATACCATCAAATAACAAGACAAGCAGCTTGCAATGTCAGATAAGCAGGTAACCAAAGAGATTCACATTAAAGTTTCTCTTTTACAGATTGATAATAGAGATTCCAATCAATCAGAGAGCTTACCAAATGTTCTATGTTATCTAATGATATGGGTCGGTCCAGATAAGCACTTAATTTTGGATAAAGTACCATTGAGTTTTCTAAAACAAATGTCTAAACCACAAAGTGCATGGAGATGCCACCTTATGCACCCCTAACTCCCCTTTGTATTCTCACCGGTAACTTGTTAAACAGAAAAATCTGAGTATTAGTTCTAAAACGTCAAACGTTCTCTAGTTTTCTCAGACTATAGACTCAAAAAACATCAGGTCCTTCGGCCTCTTGAGAAGAAAAAATTTAGTATTTTACAATTTCATGAACAGAAAAGCCTAGATGACCATCAAATCGAACAAGTAGACAACTTACATCTTTGACCAACCGTAATTCTTCATTTGAAAGTAATTAGTATGATAAAAACAATATATAACCCATCATTTTAGGAGTCTTCACAGAATAAAAGTAAAATATCTTACCAGGGAGCTGTCAGCATAGTTCATCCTTATCCACAAGCCCATGAGCGCCAGCTTAACTGGTAATTGTGCTGCAGGATCAACTGCAAGGGCCTGATCATAGTACCTTTTAGCCAGATGAAGATCAAGTGGAAGTCCTTGACCATGTTCATGCATGTATCCTATATTAAAGATGGCCTGAGCATTCGATTGCGACCGAGCATGCATGTATGCCTCTGCGGCTCGTTCGTAGTCTCTAGCAATTCCCTGTGATACAGACAGTGAGCGACAACAAATGAAAATCAATTTTGTCATGGTCAAAGTTGATGTAGCATTTACATAAAAAGTGTAACTAATAATTTTATTGCAAACAATGCAGTAAATGTCTCATTGAAAATCATTTTTTCTATATACAACTCTAATGATAGCAACTGCTGCATCTACAAACATGATGCATATGTTTATATCAGAAGTGAAAGGATAAACAGTCAACAGGGAATGCTGCTGTTTCAGTGTCATCCAAAATGATTCTATCTCATGGAAAACAGTCATACTTTGAAGCTAAAGAACGTAAAATGTCTATTCAACATCACAAAATGACATTGCACATACTGGAAAAAGCTCAATCTGCTTCAAAGTATGTTCAATTGAGTGTATTTCCTGTCTACTATAGCTTTCACAAAATAAAACAATAGCATCAGCATAAGCATGATTAATAACAGAAATGAACATTTCCAAACCTGGACACATGACAAACCTATATAAAGCTAGTTAATCAACTGTAACCAAACTAAGTGCAAATTATAGTAGTACCAACCAACAAGATAGATAACTTTGCATATACCATAACAGAACTAAATGCATTTCAAAATACTTAATAGTACCAATCAACAAAAGATGTAAATTTTTACATATACCTTTTGTGTAATGACATCTAAAAAATCTCACAAATTTATAAGCTAAAGAACTTGTCAATCATGATCATTCATTGGCAAGACATACAAGCACAGTAGCAGCTAAACTTATTCCAAGTGTCCTTTTAAGATTCACATGAGAAGTGATATCTGCATGGTGGAAAGAATTTAAAGATACTGAAGTGGTCATTTTACACAACAGTTTGCTCAAGGTGTATTTTTAAGATTCACATTAGACGTGATCTCTACATGGTGGACAGAATTCAAAGATACAGAAGTGATGTCATTTTACATGACAGTTTGCTCAAGGTGTTGTGAAAAAAGAGATTCATATCGGAACTGTTCAACAAAGTTCAGTCTTTCATGAAAATATCATTACCCGGCCATAGTAGTAAGCATCGCCAATCAACAAAGCCGCATGTTCATTACCCTGCTCTGATGCTTGCCACCACAAAGTGTGGGCACGAAGATGCCTTTCTGTGTTTGTGCAAAAGCCAGATTCGCCCATGCAAATGCTTTGTTCTCCATATTTATCAAGGATCCAAGCAGCATTACTTTGTGCCACCTCATATCCCAGCTCTGCCATTCTGGAATATAACAGAAGTGACTTACCCACATCTCCTTTCAGATAAGACTCCAGAGCGCAACTTGATAAGGAGCTCCAAGGACCCCTCTCTGCCACTGTTTTGTACAAATGTGTAGCCTGAATCAACATAATAACTGATTATTAACATAACAGATATAAGAAAAGCGCATGTCTCAAGAAAATACATACAGAACTGCTATAATAAGTAATAACTAGAAGATATCCACAGCTATATACAGACTCATTACCTAAATTCAAATAGAAAAAAAATTGAAACCAGATTTACAAATTCTTCATGATCCCTTACAACTAATTTCCAATATGCTATAATTACTACTGGAAGGACTGAAGCACTGGAATCAAATAATTGTGAAATGGATACAATATTACAATCATATGAAACAGTAATTTTTTTTAAAAATTGTTTTCATCACTATTTTTAGGGTACATTTCCTAATTCATTAGTGTTTTTTAAGGTATCTGCTATAGCAATATCAGTTTGCCTCCTTTGGAGGCAGATCTTTAAAAAGGCTTGCACAGTACTCAGAGACATGTTACAAATAAGTAAAAGTGACTTTCACAGACAAGAAAGAATTAAAAAGGTAATACTTCTAGGTAATAGGTGCGATCTGTTTAAGAATGAGAATATTAAGAAGCTGAAAGGACTCGACAAACAGATGTGCTGGTTATTTATGTAGCTTTTGACAGTTGCTTGAGTATGAAATGACTTGAAATTTAAAAAGAAACAACTAAAACAAATTTTAAAACAACAAAAAATGCCAAAGTCAGAACATGTTGTAGTAAGTTCTTCATACTAATTGTTTTCTATGGCATGTAAGAAAAGGGTACAGCAAACGAAAAGATATGATATATTGGAGCGAGATATAAAAGGTGACTTCCAAGAAGCTTTTAGGCTTTTTCGACAAGATCCTCTATTGCCTAAATTTGTGTCAGCTAGAAATTAAAACCTAGGTTAGAGGAACTCTCTGATCAACTGTATTGGTTTTTTTCTCGATTTTTAATGATTTATGAGATGATTAAGCCTATCCTATGTTCTTAATATCTAATATGTTGTTTGAGGTCTTGATGATAGTAGAATAGTCTTAATTATGGAGTAATTAAGGCCTTTAATGTTGTGATTAGTGTGTTTAGTCTTTTTTTTTTTTAAATTAGACATTTGATGGGTCAAATCTTTGTATTTCATGTATATTAAAGTGATTTACATGTTTGTGATGATATAATAGGTTTAATTAGGTTTTAATTAATTTTTTTTAATATTATGATTAGTGGCTTTAATGATAATTTAATCAAAATTTGATTCATATTGGGTCATTTCAATATCTTTAATACTCATTACAGTGTTTGACATGTTTATAATGATGAAAGAGGACTAATTATGAATTAATTAACTATGTTAATGCTGTGATTAATGTATTTAATATTGATTTAATTAAAATTTGACCCATATTGGATCAATTAAATATCTTTAATGTCCACTAAAGTATATAACATGTTTATAGTGGTGAAATAGGAATAATTAGAGAATAATTAACTATGTTAATGGTGTGATTAGTGTATTTAATGATGATTTCATCATAATTTGACCTATATTCGGATAAAATTTATGTATTTAATGACTCTTAGGGTGTTTGACATATTTATAGTGGTAAAATAGAACTAATTAGGGTTAAATTAAGTTTTTTAATGTTGTAATTAACAAGGATTGAAATTTCGTATCGTATCGGTGTACCGAGCTTTGCTCGGTATGGTACGGTACATTGTACCGAGCGATACATCTAAAAAATATATATAATATATAAAAAAATATTTTTATATAAAAAATAATATATAAAAATATAAAATATTTAAAATTAAAAAAATTAAAAAGGAGGCGTATGCTGCCTTGGTGATGTTGCCTCCTCCTTTTCTCCTCGTCGCCTTAGACGAGGAGACGAATGTGGTCTCCTTCATCTCCTCACCTGTGGCGTTCGGCGAAGACGTCGAAGGCCGTAGACGTCTCTGGCCTTCGAC